ACTTACTTTGGAAATCAACCATCTGTTTGAGTCATAAAACAATCAAAACAACAGTTAGGATTTCCGTAATCTTCTATTGGCATAATACTTGGTTACACGTTCTACAACACTGTTAATATACTATATCATTATAATACACAAAACGATTTTCAAAGAATGTAGGGCTATGTCCTATATTTTAAAGGTTACAAATTTGTAAATAGTCATGAATACGATGTATACACCACTTGAAGATTGGGTACCAATATTCGTTAGTATAAAGGATCTCAGAGATGGCACCACAAATTTAGGAACCAATGTATTTGTATAATGTTAGAGGGGAGTTTTTTATTACAAAATACGGTACTAGGCTCAGTAGGTCGCCCATGTGAACACTGAACACTGAACAGCGCTGTATTGCTTTATGTGCAGTCAGTCAGCGGACCGTTACAGTGTTGCGTTACTCAGTGTTACACTCCGTGACGCGAGCGTTACGTTAGCAAATGAGAACACACACGGATCCTCTGTCTTAATGCTCACAATGTTATACATGTGCAGTGTTTTCTTGCGGTTTTTCCTCAAAGCTTATCTATACGTCTAGAGTAAGTTTTAAACATCTGTGACATGACCCAGTTCTCAGCTCTATGGACTAATGTATGGACTGAATCAAGTTGAAGGACACTAGGATCAGTTTTAGGAATTCCCCATAGCTTTTTATGAGGTAGACTCCAGTTGGTTCAGGCTTTAGGCTAAGCAAAATGTCCTGTGGTGCATGTGGTTCAATAAAACAAGCGGTTGTAACTAATTTCCACATGAGAATAAAATAGTTATTTGTGTAACTAGTGGTGAAAGTGGCACTTTGCTGCACACGAGAGCAATGTTAACGCACGAGCCGCAGGCGAGTGCGGAATGATCTCGAGTGCAGCAAAGGCCTTTTTCACTCGTGTTACACATTATATTTTTCCTACAGTCACTATAAAGCATATAAATAATTTGTCTTTCAAACACTATACAACACGTTTTTAGGTTCAGCTGGCAAAACAAATGGTGCCCTAGAGAAAGTAGTACCCGCGGTCCGTATCACTCCGCTATTTTTCCTCGGCAAGAAATGTGCTCCGCGTTTTGAGAATATAGTTCCGTATGTTTTTGTAATTTGAAGTGGTTTCAGCGCCTAAAAAAATGCTTTAAAGGTATTTTCTTGTTTATTAAGATCGTAGGAATGTTTTAAAAACGTTTAAAAGAAAAGTCCAGAAAGTTCAGAAATACCGAAACTATAAACACGAAATGACAGGTTAAATCGCATTTATAATAGTCAATCAGCTGCTCATAGTATTATTATCTTTAAGTGTTGCCAACCTATTTCCAAGCGTACGCGGATTACGTGTATAATAGAACCACGTTGTTTTGTGTTGTTTCGTTGGAATCCTGATGTGCGGCAAAGTATAAACCGTACGGCAAAGTATAAACCGTACGGCAAAGTATAAACCGTACGGCAAAGTATAAATATGCAGCAATTAGCAGCTTTCTGTACTATAAACAGTACAAGGAAGCCAACTTTGTCGGGTGACTGTAGGAAAAAATAATTGCTTGCAGACCTGAGAATGATCGGTTATTTACGAAACATTTCAAAACAATGTTATAATTGTTGTAAATATCATGCTAATTGTCATCAAGTACAGGATGTTACTGGTACGGTACAAGGGGACAGTTCCCCGGCTGGAGCACTCCTGGTGGCTAATCATGTTTATAGCCTTGTCGACCCATGACTCTGGTCGTTGATGGGTCGGTCCAGATGGTTGTTCATCTTCCATTGTAACCACTACTTCCTTGTTCTCATCAATAACTTTGAGAGGAACTTACCTCTCCAGGATTTATATCTTCTGGTAAAAGCCTGCAGTTCCTGCCCCCATCTGTTCGAAAAATGAATGTTAAAGCTAATTTAATTTTGCCTCGATTGTTTTATCCCATTGACTATGCAGGTACCATGCATGCTCCATGCTGGTTGAGCAGGTACCATAAGGGTGCCGTATGTATTTTTAAATGTTTTTTTTTTATTATGTTAGAACAGGTTTGGTTGATTCGTTAGTGGTGATGGATGTAGAGCCATTTAATTAGACCTTGCCAATATAAAATATCACAGTTTTATGTTTAATTTATCTTCCAACAGTTTGTCTTCTTGGAATGGAATATTTTTCCATAAACCAACATTACGAGTTACATTGAAATAACGTTTAATATAGGTACTCCTTTCGATTTTCTTCGCTGTGATTAATCTCAGAATAAAAACATTATTATTATTTTCGCCTTTGTTATCGAAAAGCCTATGTATTTCCTAATTGTTTAGACTAGTGTCTGTGTGTTTTATTTATTATTTTTTTTAAAGATGTCATCTTTATTCATTATAAATTGCTATCGCCAGTTGCAAGACATTTTCTGTCAATTTTTTATACCTAATTATTGCATCAGTTAGCACCTTGTTTAACGAAATATGAAAAGATTAACAGGGTCCCGCTAAAATATTGTTAAACGTTGGATCAAAATTTCCCTAATATGTATTTCCTTGATTCTGAGGTTTAATTTATCATTTTATTTGAAACACAAAATAAATATTTGTGTACAAGAGCGGTTAGTATTTTAGTAGTTTATTGTAGTCCGTATACGATTTGAAAGAAGATAAGTAATACGTAATGTGGCATTAAGTTCAGGTAGGTTAGGTCCATTAGTGATGCAGTTTATACCTCCATTAAATACTTGCATGGAGCAGGTACCATAGACTAACCGACGGAGTATAGTTACTTGCATGGAGCAGGTACCATAGACTAACCAACGGAGTATGGTTACTTGCATGGAGCAGGTACCATAGACTAACCGACGGAGTATAGTTACTTGCATGGAGCAGGTACCATAGACTAACCAACGGAGTATGGTTACTTGCATGGAGCAGGTACCATAGACTAACCAACGGAGTATGGTTACTTGCATGGAGCAGGTACCAGACTAACCAACGGAGTATGGTTACTTGCATGGAGCAGGTACCATAGACTAACCAACGGAGTATGGTTACTTGCATGGAGCAGGTACCATAGACTAACCAACGGAGTTTGGTTACTTGCATGGAGCAGGTACCATAGACTAACCAACGGAGTATGGTTACTTACATGGAGCAGGTACCATAGACTAACCAACGGAGTATGGTTACTTGCATGGAGCAGGTACCAGACTAACCAACGGAGTATGGTTACTTGCATGGAGCAGGTACCAGACTAACCAACGGAGTATGAACACTTGCATGGAGCAGGTACCAGACTAACCAACGGAGTATGGTTACTTGCATGGAGCAGGTACCATAGACTAACCAACGGAGTATGAACACTTGCATGGAGCAGGTACCAGACTAACCAACGGAGTATGGTTACTTGCATGGAGCAGGTACCAGACTAACCAACGGAGTATGGTTACTTGCATGGAGCAGGTACCAGACTAACCAACGGAGTATGGTTACTTGCATGGAGCAGGTACCATAGACTAACCAACGGAGTATGGTTACTTGCATGGAGCAGGTACCATAGACTAACCAACGGAGTATGGTTACTTGCATGGAGCAGGTACCAGACTAACCAACGGAGTATGAACACTTGCATGGAGCAGGTACCAGACTAACCAACGGAATATGGTTACTTGCATGGAGCAGGTACCAGACTAACCAACGGAGTATGGTTACTTGCATGGAGCAGGTACCATAGACTAACCAACGGAGTATGGTTACTTGCATGGAGCAGGTACCATAGACTAACCAACGGAGTATGGTTACTTGCATGGAGCAGGTACCAGACTAACCAACGGAGTATGGTTATGGTTAGTCTATGGTACCTGCTCCATGCAAGTATTTACTGGAGATAAACTGCATCACTAATGAGTGGAAAAATCTATCATTAACAATACAGTTTGTGTACCAAGTTTTTTTTTATATTTGTGTATACTTAAGTAGACATCTCATCCATATAGATATATAAGCTGATGCCATTTTTTATTAAACAGAACATTTTTGAACAAGCCAGTCACATAGTGCGCTAGTGTCTATAAGGCTATTTTACACGTTATTTTTTGTTACTGAGATAGTGTATGTGAAAAGCGAGATACTATAGCTTACAATAAGTCGATCTATTGGTTTCACTTGATTAAAAATATGGCAAGAATTGGTTGGACAGAAATCAGTAATTTACATTAACACAGTCTGTCGGTGGATCTATTAACTATGTCTATTTTGATTTTAAAATTAATGACAACTTTTACATGGGGATGGAATGTCTTGTTTTAGCCATATTCAAAGGTTTATACATAACAAGGCCATCATGAAACCTGCAAATAATATGTCAGTATCACGATATTAGCATGGCTTATATCAAGAAGGTTATATTCAGGTCACAGCTTGGCCTCATAAGCCTACATTACACTCGCCAAGGCTTCACGGGAGATCAGGTACAAAACAGGTGTTGACCGATAACGGATGGCTCTAGGAAGCCAGCGTGGGCCCATCTCGATCCCATAAGCCCCATAAATTCCCCATAAATCGTGACTGCTGCCCACGATCTTCTGCTTGTTCGTTTCTAGCTGATTTAAACAGCTGGTCGCTCCAGCAGGCAATCAACAATGAGTCTATAAACAGCTGATCGTGACGTACAATGATCCGAGGAGGAAACTAATTTAAAGCACTTCAAATTAATTGAAAGTGTGTTAAAACTGAGTATGATTACATTGATTAAATCAATAAATAGTTAAATGTTTTTTTTTTTTTTTAATATGGATAAATTTGAATTGTAGTGGCTTACTGACATTTGCACGTCTTGTGCATTGAATGAAAAAATGTTTGTTGCCTTTATTCTGTGCTAGTAATGTGTAAACCAAAGAAATATTGATACATATGTTAGTACGTGGATTGAAAATTAAGTTAATATCGTCATGAGACATGCCAGAGTGTGAACCGACAGACATATTGTTGCACACATATTGTTGTATTACAGGTCGATGATACAGTGTAGTCCGAGATGGAGGTGGTAGAGCGGGCCGGAGGACCTTTCTCTAGACGCAACGTACAGGAGTGGTCCAGACTAGACCAGATCACTGGACTGTTGGAACATGCCAGAGTGAAGACTGACATACATGTTGTGTTGTATTGCAGGTCGATGATACAGTGTAGTCCGAGATGGAGGTGGTAGAGCGGGCCGGAGGACCTTTCTCTAGACGCAACGTACAGGAGTGGTCCAGACTAGACCAGATCACTGGACTGTTGGAACATGCCAGAGTGGAGACTGATCATTGGACTGCCAGCACGAGTAACTCTTCCCACCACTTTGGCAAGGTAAGCTTTACAATACATTTGTATATGTTTAAATGAATGAATAATCTTCATCTTTATCAACGGGTTTCTGAAACGATGAACCACTTGGGAATCCGTACGAATCATGAATGCTTGAATACATATAAACAAACGGTCCATAACAACTACGGTCCTTTAGGATAGTTTAATAAAACCACATAAGAAAAAAATCTCCCCGCCGCAGCAAACCTGCCGACTAAGCGAATTCCCATTTCTCTGGATGATTTTCAATTAAATCTATTGAAGTAACATTAGGTTTAAATATAAAAAAGATACGTAAGATTTGAAAATAAAAGTGTACCTAACGTACGAAGGTCTATTTGAGCACAACAGATTCTCCATGTGTTTGCAACACGAGTGTATGTCCCGTAAACAGGACCTAGGACGCGGGACGCAAATGTTCTTTCCCATGATTGTCAACCCACAGTTCGGACCTTCCTCCCATTGTCTTCAAATAACGCTTTACGACCAACATGACAGTAAAACATTTGAAATGTCAAGGTTTTGTAAAGCCACTTAACGAGTTAACCGTGAAGTAATGTTCACCAAAATGTTAGGTCCGTCTTTGTGCAAACGTAAAATCTTTTGATTATGTCCATGATCCATTTAACATTTTAGGTAGTTATTGTAATATGAAAATATCAGCGTACCATAAGATTGATGACAATGGCAAAGCGCCTTCAATATGTAAGCGGATTTAAAATAGCTTTAAGTCCCAACTGTTTATTCTGTTTTTCTTTTCATTCACGTAGGCTACAGTATTTCAAAACCTCTGAGAAAGCTATAAAACTAACTGCACCTCTCAGATTCCTGAACTTCACAACGGCTTCCAAACAAAACAAGGCAGATGTCCTCATTCTCAGGCGATATTAATAGTTGCATAGTAAACTAGATGGTTATATCCTCGACTGGCAGTTAACCCAAACTTAATTACCAACACGGTAGTTTGTTACTTCGAAGGCCAATTAGTGGAGGGACGTCCCAGAACAGGGTGATTGGCGACTGGCATGATGTTGTCCTGATAACATTACAAACCGAGGACGGCAACAAGAAGAATGTGTGGGCGCGCAGATGTTATGATTTGGTCCGGGAAAGTGGGCTAAGTACATCTTGATGTGGTCTTCCGGATCCGGACGTGATCGTAGCGAGCACGATCGCCTCTGTGATCACGACCGAAGTAAGGTATTGTGGGGCAACAACGGTCTCGGCACTCGGCCTTTCTGTGTCCTGTAACCTGCAACATGGACTTCAAACGGGAACACGATTCCTGTACTCGTACTGTAACTGTAACATTGTATTTTAGGTTGATGATGACAAGTGCCCTAATCACAAAAAATTCAAAGTAATGCAAACCTGCATATATGACCTGTTTACCTCATCCATTAAAAGGCTCAATGGGATCGTACGACTCGTAGGACTGTTTTAAACTCAACCAGATTATTTAAAGAAAACCTCAGATGGGTTTAGAAGAAGAATGAAAGAGGGTGTTGGTGTGCTGTTTAGCCTTAGCCCTGATTGGTGGTTTTTGGTCTGTACGTTGCAGGTTTTTGGTCACGGAAAGAATGTAGGTAATTGTGACAAAGTTTATCGTTGCAAACGTAATACTTTTCAGGTCTTAGGGGCTTTCTTCCAGAGTGTGAACCAATGTCTGAATTAGTAGATTCTAAATAGGTGATACCAAATCTTTAGGGGGCGTATTCATTTTCCTATCGTAAAAGAGCTTTTCAAAATGCATTTAGCTTAACCAAATTAATTATATTTACGATGATATAAGGTAATCGCCAGAACTAACTGATCAAACTTCTCTGATTGATAAGCACCACAAATGAATCGTCACATAAATTGGGTTAAGGCCAATTATCGCGGGCCGTACTGTACTGGGGCAACCCTGGAAGTTCAGATGGCCACATCTCGGTTACCTCACTTACCTCACACCGCCACCTCGTTATCTCGTCCGGTAGCACAACTTGGCATCAGAGGAGACAATAGTTGAAAGTACGAGTATAATTTATGATACAAGACAAGTATTGTGTTCTTGATTTCATTTAACTCGGCACGCACTTCTTGCTTATAAAGCCATAACGGAGGCTATTTAATTCATGTGCCTGGACGTTGTACATAAGAGTATGCAAAATTTACCAGTATTTTAATATGTTTGTCCAGTGTTTATTAAATGTTAACATAGCAAGCTGTTAACTTTGACTCTAAGGACTGCGGAGTGAGGCACAAATTAAAGCTAGGTTGCAGATGTGTGTGACCGTAGCAAGCAGGTACCAATCAACCCCTCTGGGCTCTTATAGGTGGTCCCATCAACATAATAGCGAAGACCGAGGTGCGAACAAGAGTTTGTTGCGACTCAAAGTCTGCAATTTGCACACATTCGCGTGGAGTTAAGCCCTTGCTTTCACTCCGATAACATCAACATTTCTCCAGGTCACCTTGTAAAGGTCCACTTAGAGCAAAACCGCTACACTATTAGCATAATGTGGTGTTAACTGGCATGGCATAGCCGTTTGGACGAAGAATCATTATTTTAAGATTTATCGGAATACAACATTTCCTACGATGAGTCAATAAAATATACTTTAGCAGCGCAATATTAAAGGTGTGTTTTTAAATTTGTAATGTCCAAAGTACATACAATGTTTAATAGATGTATTAGCGAATTTATAAAGGGAAGTAGCTATTACCGTAGGTGGCATAGTAAGACCTAGGCCCGGGACCTATTTACTTTTCATTTTGATGACCCAAGAGGCCATAAAACACCATTCGATCAAATTTTTATATATGTAAATATATATTCGTTCACGTCCGTGAATGCGATAACTTGAGTATTTTTTGTCCGATTTTGATGAAGTTTGGTTTAAAGGTGTAAGGTGGGATAAACTTAAATTAGTTCGCGAACCAGCATGATCCTACCATGGGAACGGGGTTTTACGGGGTTTTAGGGGGGGTTTATAAGGTTAAAAATGGTTTTTCTCATTTTTGACCCTCAAAACACAAAATTTCCCAATTTCTCTCATGATCTTTTTAAAGAGCTTAAAAATACCCCCGCCGCAGCAAACCTGCAGACTAAGCGAATTTCTATTTGCCTGGTTGGATTTACATAAAAATTTCTCCTTAAATATATCACATTTATTCCCTATTTAAATAGCATTAGTTTAACAAGTACTTAGGTTTGCTGCAACAGGGAAGGTAAAGAAGTGTTTTTTTTTTGTAAAATGTTAATAGTTTAGTATGAAATAAATGCATTTTCCAAATTCGATCAAAATATGTTCATAAACAAGTAAACTACAACAGTTTACTTATTCTCTCCATAAGCATAACATGGGAATTTTGATCGTTTAGTTGGCAGGTTTGCTGCGGCAGGGTGTTGTATTTCAAACATGATTATCACGGGGTAACATTATAAGAACTTATTATACTAGTAACTTTGAAGCTTAATTAATAACTTAGAATACATCGTACTCTAAGCAATTTATTTCATGAAATAATATTTGAGCTTTATATATATAGATTAATACGTCCCAATAAAAATATTCTATCAAATGTTGCGTCCGTTTTATAATATAACTGCTTAGTTCAAACCACGACGATATTTATTGGAGATACTTGGTATTTGGGAAACTGTATATTACAGTAAATACATAACACTACGAGTTACAACTGCGTCCTTTTGCACTCCAATTAATGATAAATACTGATAGCGGGTTAAAAGCCAGTTGTAGACTACCTATGACAGAACCTTGTGCTACTGTACCTCCACCAGTCTCCAGTCATTGCTGACCTGCAGTCCTACTTGAACACACAAGTCGTGCACGATCTGATGTCTGATACAATGGCCAATTTACTCGTTCCAGCTCCGGCCCGGTGACCAGTACGGAACGGTTTCTTGTCGTATCGTTTGTTTCAAAGAACATGTAACCGGTTGCAGTGTTCCAGGTACTGGGTTGAGTTCACTTTGTCACAGTGTCGCCCCAGATAATGATTCCTACCAGTTACTTCCAATGATTTGTTTCACCTGAAAATCGGTGGCAGAATCATCTGTAACACTCATTGTCGTTTTGATTTGGTTATTAGAGATTTGCTACGGATGTTTCTGACACTCACTAACGGTATTTCCAATGCAACTATAATAGTTTATTATAATAGTATCTTAACATCTCAACTCAATCAGCAATGCAATTATAAACAGTTGGAGACAATGTTGGTATTTATTTATAACATTTCCTTTATAAATCATTATAAATCATAAATCATCAATTTGCTGTCCATTACGCAAATCTCTGATCTTCAAACTTCAATCATATTCATAAGACGCTGTTGAAAAACCATCCTCAATATCTGAAAAAGAAATTGCTACAAAGAGCTGAGGTTTGTGAGCGCAGTACTCGCCAGGAAGGCCAGCTGCAGTTACTACGGGTCAGAACCGAGATGGGGAGAAAAGTCTTTTCCTACTTTGGACCCCTTGTTTACAATGCTTTGCCAGCAGGAGTAAAACATAAAAGTCACAAAGTATTCAAAAAGAATGTTAAAGATTATTTCTGTAGTTTTATTTTCTAAGGAACTTGTAATATTACTTTGCTTTTATTAGTTGTAGTTGACAAAAGTTTTCATGTAAAACAGATCTTTGATCTGATAGTACGCTGGCTAAAGACGTTATTTATTTATTTTCTTATTTTTTTCATACAACGGCTGCTTTTAAGTGACACTACAAAGCCAACTCCTCGTTATGGGAGCTAACATAGGAGAAATCCTGTGATCTCAGATTTGTGTTACTTAACATGTTTAATTTGCTTTCTTCACTACAAGATATTTAAGAAGTTTCCAGAAAATTGCTGATACATTATGCTAAACTGCTCTATGTAAGAGTTTCCTTCTATTTATAGCGATTGCGGCTGAACGCCCATCTGATCGTTCACGTTCAGGACCAGCTTTATGCAACCAACTTTCACCGTACACTCGCTAGAATTCTTTATAGA